ACTTTACATTTGCTACACTCCGCCGATTTAAAGTGTTGCAAGTTCGGGATTTAGATACATGTAGGTGAGTATTTATTTTCTGCTTTTCAATATAACACTTGCATATAGAATATTCATCATCGATTTTAGTGAGCACTATATTAACGTTGAAAATATGCCATGATTATATACTTTAATTACTTAAATAATTGTAAAACAACTGCCTAAATAATACCAGTATTATCCATCAAATGAAAACCAAATACTACAAATGTGTCTAGCAAAGAACACTTGTGTACTGACCAATGTTAAGTTGAAATTAATCTAATGAACCTCACATATTATATACCGAAATACGTCACAAATAACTTATTTTTTGTAAATTTTAAATTGATAAAGTTTACAACAAAACATCATGTGCAATGTATAAGTTGTCATTAAAACGTTACAGACTTATCAATGTTATATTTGATATTTTAAATTTGCATTTATCGAATTTTTTTTTCCAAAGTGAAAGAGAGTGTATGTAAATACCGTAGCGTTATCAAGTTAATAAACACGTGAAATGGAGCAATGAACTGGTTTGAAAGTAATAAAAAACCGAGGTATATTTGCACCGTCTGTTCACTTCTTAAAATTGAATATCGGCTATTTTATTTAGTAATTTATTTCTCAATGGTCGAAATAAAAAAATACTTGAAATTTTAACAAAGATATAAAATCCTGTTTGTTTTAGAAAATTTGTAAGTAAATAACGTTGCCCCAGGCTACACGTTTGTCTGCCACGTGTGTGCTCCGACCTTTGATCTGATATGAAGTATGACGGGATATGTACACTAATTGGCGGCACGCGACAGTATATTGTCGACATTTTTCAAATATTCAGTGAAATATCATACCTGGTTTCAGACAGGCGCCCATAATGTTATCTCTGTCTGTTCAAGTTATCCGATAGTTAAATGAAGAAAATCCGAGTACGACCTGCAGACTAAACACGCTCCCAGATTTCCATGTTATCAAGCAAGTTTGAACTTTCAAAAATATGACAATAGAAAATTTCACTCAAGAGTAATACAAGATGTTTTTCGTATTTCACGGTACAAGTTTCTTCACATTCCAGTTATCGATATTAACATATTCTTTAAACTAGAATTTTTATCTATAGTGTTATATTTTACAACACTCTTTATCTCAAAACAAATTCAAATGTGCAGCTGTTTGGGGGGTTTATATACATAATGTACTATACTCTGAATAAGATGCTAGAGATTATATTTGTATTGACAGAGCTAGCGACTTTCTACGGAAATACTTTAGTTTTCAATGGTGCCACCTGTTCATGTAATACTATCAAGTCGACGGAGTATCCTAAAACGTTTCAATTTGTCAGTCTCTCAGCCATAAAACCACGTAATGGATGTATATGTCACACATTGTTGTACAATGTTCCTTGAAAATGAAAAGAAACTGATACAGGTGATAAGCTTGAATGAAGGAAAATTCTAACGGGTTGTATTGTTGTAGTAATTATGTTTCCTGCAGAATGATTTCATGAAAGATGTTTACGTATGATTTATTGTACAAGTATACAACTATATATCAACCTTTATCACAAATTTTATGGAGATAATTCTATATTAATTCCTGAAAAAATGCAAATTTAAAAATAAAGATATGATGTTGAATAGCAGTTCTGGATGGGGGACAGAAAATTAACCCCAGTATTGTAGCTCAACCTATTTCAATATAATTATTTCAATATAGGTTCTCAAAAGGGAAAAATCACATGTAAATATATAATTCCATCGTAAAAATTCTCTACAAAATTGATAACATATCGATGTAAACTATCTGGTTGTTGTTGCCTTGTTTCTGGGATTCCATTAGAGATATCATGAAGTTTCTTATACCAATTTCTTTATTTGCTTCATTGAATGTGCATTTTTGTTCTATTTGTGAAAAGGATGTCGTTAGTCGGGGCGTTTAGCTCGTGTTCACACTGACATCATAGAAGGCTGCTCTTTGATAGGCTGTATTATGATGTAATTGAAACCGACAAAAGTGGGAGGGAGATAATTCCGCGTAAACGAAAATGACATATTGTTATTTGTAAAACCATCGGAAATTGAAAAAGGTCTTTGTTAAATGTTTGATATGCGAATCAGCCTGAACATGGGATCCGGTCACGTGTGTAGTAGCTAAAAAGACATATATCATGGATTTCATTACAAGATCTAGCGTGCAAGGAAATGTAAAATAATATAGTTGACGTGAAAGTGTTCCTTTATAATCTTTTCTGTGTTATCTTTTTTCCAAGACACCAGAGGCGAAACAAGAGAGGCTTCGGGACAATACTCTAACTTGCATTTAGAAATACATGTCTGTTTTTTTTATTTATTTTTTTTTTTATTTTTTCGAATCCCAGATTTTCCGTAGAAAATTTTGAAAGCACTTGATACGCTAACGGAGATTTTCGTAATGAATTTAATTACCTTTTCTTTTCTTGCGCAAATGATAATATCATCTTATTTTATCTTTCTACCAATTATAAAAATGTTTGATCAAATAGATATAAAAGCTACATTGAAGACAATATTCCAGTTAATTGCATTGCTTACAGAAAGATACAAAACATCGAATATTAGTATTGACAGAAAGATACATCACAATCAAAGATGCAAGACACAAGTAAAGCGTCATTATATTTACAAAATTTTACAAAGATACACGGGAAATATTTTAATAAATAAATTTTATTTAAAGTATAACAAATATATAAAATTTTATAATTATTCAACCTTTGAAATTAAAAGTAAATGGGGTTATGGTTATTACGAAGACACATCCCTATTATTTTTTCTGACTTCAGAAGAACAGTTGAATAATAAGATAAAGACCAAGATTTAAATGATGGGATCAAAATGGCTTCCTGTATAAAGACAAGCTGGTTAGTACTAATTACATATCATATCATGGATATGTTGCCAATGTGTTACACTTCAAGTTATGTTCTTGATATTGTGATTGCTAGATTGTTCTAACCCGAAAGATGAACGATAACAAGATGTCGTTTATATGTTATAAAATCACACATCCACAAATCTAACATGTTTTGTTTTTAAACAGACTATAGTAACATATGAGTGAAGTTTTCACGCCTTGAGATCACAGAGAGCAATGGTGTTTTCCGTGTGAATGGAAAGGTAATAAAAAGATATCGGAGAATTAGTAACGAGAAGTTAAAGGACGTTGATAGCTTTTCATTGCCATTAAATCCCGTGTAAAATAACCTACGGTCATTATGTCATACTTTCAAATGCATTACGTGTACGGGTAACAACACCGCACTGACAATCGCCCTCTATAACGACCTTGTAATCATGTCCATCTACTTTCTTCAATGATAAACATTAACTTTCAAAGCACTAATAATGGGTAGCATCTTTTCAATAATCTATATTATCAATATGTCACACTTTCTTCTGAATTTTTGCGAGACGGTGATAAAGTTGGAATTATAAATTTTGCAATATATCCTGTAATCTTGCCAATCAAATCTTTGTTAGTGAAGTATTTCTCCAATGCTCTTTTACACAACTTTCATAACTCAGAATAGGAATATTGTCAATTTTACTTCCCGGGATACCTGTTGAAAGATAACTAGGTAGATACGATTGCAATCAACATTGATATTTTAGGAAGTCTCTTTGACGGTGTCAGTATGTAGATTCTCCCGATTTGTCATAATGATATCTTAACATTTCATGATAAAAGCAACTATCCATGATATACCAGCCAGTCGCTAAGATATGAATATAAAAAAAAATGTTTTTTTTTAGAGATGATGCCATATAAGACAAAGACTATGTTAAATTAATTATTGTCAGAGTATAGTCATGGTAAGGAAATATTCTAAAAAATAAGGTATACCATTTTTCTGAATGTCCAGCTTTATCATCTGATTGACATGTTGTTATGTACCCTATTATATAGTAATGGTTTCATTACATTAACAGATATATATGTTAACCTCTCCAGTATACCGATAGAATTTTACAGGGGCTATGATACAGATAATAAAACCGTGAAGGGATCCGTCATCCTTTGTGCAGTGTAAAGAATATGATGAACGTATTCAATAGGGTTTTCTGAAGTCAACCACTGCTATCGCTTTAACAGGCGAGACAGGTGAAGTGTAGGGCAATTGAACAAGAGAACGGGGCCGCTAACTCTTTCAGGCTAACCACACAGTATTAGCTCTTTTGATGAGAACAATGTTTTACAGACAAAGACGTACTATCCCGAACCTCACGCCTATAACGTGCTACTGAAGACAAATGGAATCCCCCATCCGCCTAGATTATTTAACAAATAACCCGTGGTTGTTAACTAATGCCGAGACATGCAGGGCGATCCAGGTTAAACAACAACTGGTTTAGAAATGCTAATTGAAGCCTAAGATGTATAATCAGACGGAGATATCATTTGGCAACTTGTTATAATTTTTTACATTTATCACCCGGAGGAAGACCCTTGCGATACATCCACTCATGACGATCCATAATTGCACGTGTTAGGTCAAGAACTAATAATTTTGCAATCCGAACTACACGTTCTATGAATGTGATAATTGATGTCATAATGCCATTCTTTGCTTGTGTGTCAAACTTAGCTAAATAGATAGCTAAGGCCTGTATCTCACTATTCTGTTAAATAGAGGCGAGAGGTTGGTATCTCTGGTCTTTCCAATGAAAAAACACCAGTTTTCAACTCAACATCATGCATCTCTCCAATTTATTAGTAAAATGAACTTGATAAATGTTTGTCCCCTTTCGTAGTTCATATAATTACAATATTGGACAACAACAACGTTACAAAATTTCCATCTCTTATTACAAACCTGCGCCCGTGTAAGGCTGTAATATGTTTTAATAGAATATTGTTTTGTCAACTGAAACATCGTCCCATTACAAACGTGTATAAAGAGAGGGTTGGTTTGGTGTATTTACAGAAACGAGAGGATGACTCTGACAGAAGAGACCACGTTTCTGCCCAGTATGCAAGACAGCAACTCGGACCGGATGTCTTCCCATCATAAATGGGACATCAACGACAACACTCTTCCTGTGGTGAGAAATAAACACCTTTTTTTATCTATATGTATATTTGACACGTGAATATTTTATTTAGACAGTTTTTAACTGCAGTTGATACACATACATATAAAAATTGGATAAAATCCACCCAAACCAATGTTTCATCAAATGATCTTAAACAGAGTTCATTTTGGTAATAAAAGTTAACGTAGATGTGGAAACATCCAGAGGTGTTTAAATATAGAAATACTTGACCAAGGAATACTTTTGTATTTAGAAGAAATGATCAGAAACAAGAAATGACGAAGAAGTTTGAGTTTTATCCCAAATCAATTGATAACATCAAAGTTTCAATAAATAACGGTAACCTACATGTTTCAATTAATTCGTATTGTGACCTTGTTCACAATATACACATGCACATTATGCTCTTTGAAATCATACAGTATTGAAATTTATTTAATATTTGGGCTGGTTCACCTCCCCATCTTGCTTTTGATATTCATTTTGATTAATGTTGGTTTGCCTCAGACAGAAGTTTTCAACAATTTAGGCAGTAGAGTCACTGACGAGTCCTAGAAGGACGAAACATCTGTGTGATGCAGTTTAATACGTTATTTAACTATACTGTAATTGTATCATTTGTACACGCTTAACACAGAAAAGTATATCACTGCTTAACAACATACCATTGAACTTGTGATTCTATAAATTGGGAAAATGCGGCGAAATGCATCCTAATAGATTTTATTTACTCACGCAAAAGTCCCAATGAAGAAAAACATTTCCTGTATCTCTAGGTTCCTTCCGGAACACCTGGTCTTATTCTCTTTGTATTTTACGCCGTGTAGATCTTTCTTTTGTCCATAGTTTACTTTTATCGAATTGGAGTTTGCATTTAGTTATGTCGGTATTTTCCAAAATCTTAATCAAACTAATGATATTCATATTTACGTTTAGGTTAACGAATTTGATGCGTTCAAAGAATGGCCGGATGGCAATTGTCGGTATGTGTATAGTGGGGACGTGGAGGACGGACGGAGACATGTCAGCGGCTGGGCCATGCGAAACACTAACAACCACAATGCTCTTATCCTCAAGAAATCCTGCCTGGGAGTGTTTGTGTGTAGTCATGATTGCTCTCTTGACAGTGGAGACAAGGTCCATCTTAGACCCGCAATATGTGACAAAGCAAGAAGAAAACAAGTTGGTAAATATCCTTTATATCACATTTCTTTCCGTTCAAAACAGTGGTCGGTCTATGCGTCAAGTCTTTCGGTGGAAATTTAACGTTCAGTTCTAGTAATTGTGGGTAAAGTTTCCGTACACGATTGAAAGTGGAGTTGAATGCTATATGAATCCCTGTTTTCAGGAAAAGCATGTCCGAATTCCCGCTGTTCAGGGCGGTTAGAACTGATGTCCTGTAGGGGTCACTGTGGTTATCCTGTCACCCATTTTTGGCGGAACCTTCACGGAGCTATATATTTCCAAGCCAAAGGAATCCATGACCATCCTCAACCAGAGGTCAAAGCCTCAGCAGAAGCCAGGAGACATAACAAAATTATTCGACAACAAGAAAAATTAATGATGGTATGTAACATATTTCTTTGTGTGGACCGTTATTCACATGTTTGTTTTCTGGTTTACAAAGCGACCTCATGATCTAAACTGTGTAATTATGGACAGCATGTCATCTGTATGAAAAACACAAATGATATCAGATTTTCAATAGATGTGTTTGAAATGTAGGATAAAAAACCATGAAAATTCAACTACAACAAAAAATTATCAATTATACACCACATGTCAAGAATATTTTATATGTATATTTCTGGACGTTAAATATTTTACATATTCTTTAATTTAATTTTGTTTCATGTTTCAGATGAATATTTCCGTAAGGAAACGACTGCGTGGTTCCTCTAGCACAGGTGTACACAAAGACATACACAGAAAGAAAATAAAAAGTAAGTTTTGCTGAAAATTAGACATCGTCTAAATTGAATAATTCTTCTGCCTGTCTTAAAACATATGTATTCCACTTAAAAAGTGGCTGAAAATCATTTTACTTTCATGCATGCTTAGATCATAGTCTGCTGTAATGTGGAAAAGATGGATACTGCTACAACAAGATGGATGTATAATGGCTGACAAGTCCTCGTGAAACATCAATTAAAATTTTAAGTAGTCAATTATGATTATGCATCATCATATTAGATTTTTATGTCCGTGTTTTAATTTGATCTTACAGGTTTTGATAACATGTGTTCCTGTTCGCCATTTGAATGCACGTGTACTCATATCCGCGTGAATCAATATCAGTCCGCCTATATGGATGGTCAGCAGCCGGATGTCCTTAGACGTTCTAATTCATGGACTCCACAGATATATGAAGCATCGTCATCACCATGGCAACGACCTTTCTCACTGGATACAAATCACAACCAGCCAGGACTGTATAAGTCATGCGACTTACAGGAAAATCGACCTTATATACACGAAGAACAAAATTTGCTTTCGACACTATTTCCATCTATGTCTAGCCAGTCAAGAAATTATTCTGACACTTCCGTCCACAACTCCGCTTTCTGTTCCAAGTCTGGTTCTGTAAACTTTTTGCATAGATTCGGTTCGCGTGGTATCCCAATGCCTGAGATTTTGTACCCTGTTTCTAGTTTACCTGTTGATCCTCAAGATAGACCCGACTTTCGATCTTCGCGACCCATTGATCGATATGGCGAAAAGGACCCATTTGGGTTTCTATACGAATCTGACACGGACAAGGGTGTCGATAATCCTACTTCTGTTAGAGTGAAAGCTGAGCCTGGGTGCGATGATTCATCAACTAATCTGATCGGACAAAAACAAGGTAAAGATGCTCAATATCTTTCAAATGTCATAGGAAGTTCTCTTCACGACACCACCACAAATAAACTATGTGACGACTTTGTAAATATTGATGTGTTAGATCACAGCTCACAGCTTTCTACGTATCCTGATACAACTGAATCGGATGTGTTTCAGTCCTTTGTACCCCGGTTCTCTTCCGACATCCCTAACATGCCCCCTAGCACAACTGGACAATGTCAGATGGTAACTTCTTCCACACCACAGTACGTCGAACTCAAACCGATGAAACGGAACAACGACTCGCGACATCGACGGCCTTCGGACGGTATTCAGACTCCTTTAAGTTATAGTGCTAAACAATCAGATCATTCTAGTCAGAAACAATCCGACTCTACTTACCAATCCAGTGTGTTCAATGAATGCTTGCCTTTTGGAGATGTTTCTTCCCATTCTGCAGGTGTAGCTCAGAGATCTCTTCCGAGCAGGTGTGACCTGCCCACAGGGTCCACCCGGCCCTACGGGAACGAGGGCCACTGTGGACACTATCACAACGATATGTATCAATGTCCTTCGAGTAATTGTTCACAAATGAAACAACAATTATGTAATCATAGCATTAACATAACACTCACCTATAATTGATTTATCTCAAAGCTCATATGTGAAAAAATACCGTTATAAGACAACAGATCCTTAAAATAAGTTTATTGAATTAGAAGTGACCTGAAAATCTTAAATAGCGTCCGTGTGCGAATTTTTTTAATGTTTTCGAACGTCAATAAAACAAAAGCAAAGAGATATGTTTATCCATTAAGAACTCCCAGTGATCGTTATTACGCTTTCTTTATAGATCAGTCTGTATAATTTTTTTTCATTTAATTCAAAGAGTTCGTTTTTTCCAGGCAATATAAAACACATTCTGATAACATTATTCATCTATTGTCTAATGTCAATGTTTAGTTTCGTGATTGCAGTACGTTCTAGTTCAGTGGTCAGTAAAAACATTACTTGAATGGTAAACGTTTTAAAATATATTTCAGTACTGAAAAAAATGTTTATTTCCGTGGGGGAATTATTTTTTCGTTGAATTCGTTGATACTTTAAGCCACGAATTCATAGGATTGTAAATCCATCATATCATTTAGTAAATGCAGATTTAATTATTAATATATGTGAACGAAATCAAGTGTCCGCGAAATTTTTATAAAAAAAAAAGATTCCCGCGAAAATTTCTTTTTTTTCAGTAACATATATTTCTATGCAAGTGTACATTCTGGTCAGTTTGATATTTTAGTGCCTTTTTCTATGTTGATCTTTCTACACTTAATAAATCAAAGAAAAGAAACAATGAGTTTGGTTATCTATATTTAGAAATAAGGTGTTATGGTGTTGACACGTTTTAAGGTGATTTATTTCGACAAGACAATATCATATTTATACAAAATGATTATAAATGTCTCATTTGTGACATCTGGGCTAATCATCATCGGCGTATCGGATTTCCACATAAAGTATCGCATTCAACAAAGAAGACAAAACCTTACTCAATTAATACATATTCATAAATGTGAATATCGTGAAACGTGTAGACAATGCATACATACACAAGCACGATCTCTGATATTTATCTAAGTATACTTTAATATCGAAAATAGCATACTGGTGTACTGGCATCACGTGAAAAAATCACAGAAACAGATCATTGTAGATAATCTGTCTAAACTTATATATACCGATATGTAGGACATTTATTTGTAATGCAAAATCAATATTTTGTACAAATTCTTAATCACACTAGTATTTCAGAATTAGTTTTTCACATAAAGACACGATTCACTTTTTTCATATCGAATTTCCTTTTTGAATTACATTTGTATAATAGATGGTGTGATGTTAAAGATGAAATTATCTCCAGGAAGACATTATAACAACGATGGTTATAGGTGGTACACTTACCGCCAAGTCTGATGTAGCATGCGATGTAACATTTTTATGGTTTATCTCCCTCCTCTTTGATTTTGATAAAAATGTCAAACTGCATGTTTTATTGGTCATTGAATGAAAAATTCGTCTCCACTTTAAATCAAAAGAGCATTTCGTGTGGATTATCTTAATGATTCTTAACAAGAGAATTTATATTGTAAATAAACCAAGAGCCGAAACGAATTCAGTGTCTAAATCCCTGCTTACTAGACGTAACACGTGTACTAGGTAAACAGGGATTGAGCTGGGGGAAAATACATATTACTGTGTACATAGAATGACCAGTTCTAGCGTCACTACCAAATACACTAATTAGTTTAAATTGTTAAACTAATAAACATAATCTATGAATATTTAATTCTACTCAACAAACGGTTTATTAAAGCGTGATAAACAGTGATTACATCTTCGAAAGCGCGAGAATTATTTCTAATAAGGAAGTGACACAATTTCCACATAGTGTGTTGTGGAACCCTGATAGGAAGTAAATGTTGTAAACGTAACACGACTTGTTGTCAACCATAAGATCTGTCATCACTCTGATCGGTTGTCAAACTTAGTAGTTCCTTATCCATCCTGCCACTTCTGTATAATTACATACAGGGAAATGTGTGTTGCTGGCCAGGTGTGACACTAACACAGACTTACATACTTGAGGAGCAACAAAATGGGGTACAGAGCACAGGTTTATTGATCGCTGAAAAAACGACTCAATAATATATGCACACGGCTGGATATAATTGTCCAAAGGAAACTCCAACAGGAGTATATCTAATGAAATGACAATCCTTACTTCGCTTGGAGGAATTGAGATTAATTTATAAAATAATTGATTCTATTAATATTTACCATTGTGTATTCTTTAGTTTCAAATTCAAAACAAACAAAACACGCGACGATCTTTGTAAGTAGCTCCAGGGAATGTTTGTAAAGTGAGAAATGTGCGAAACAGAGCGAGATCTTGTAAAGTAGAGGTGCCGTCATTTAATTTACAAACAATAATTTAACACCGCCACTTGATCTGCTGTTAAGATAGAATTGTATCAGTTTTCATTGCTTAAATTTACATAGTTAAAACGTAAGTTTAAAAATGACAACAACACAAAGAGAAAATTTCAAACAAGTTATCATATGTTTTATTCAATGCAGTGTAAATTAATCTACATCTCGCTTAACACTGCGGATAACGTCGTCCTTGCAATATAATGTTACTGAAACCGATTCTAACCACACACAGCCGAGGTATCTGGACGTGAGGTTACGCAAGATGTCAGTGTCATAGTTCATATTTAAACAACAATACACATAAGCTTGCACCCCGTCTTTAAACAAAAGGGCCACGTTTCTGTAGGCAGTCCAGTGCCTAGCACGTGGTCATTGTAATTCTGCATTAATAATATCCAATTAATATTCCATAAATAAACAAATACTAAAGGTGGGAGAAATGACATAATGAAATTTTCAATTACTCGGAGTAGCAATAACACCAGTGGCCTCGCGCCGGATACAATAGCGGAATAATCTGCTTATTGACGAGTGACACATTCAAGATTGAAGAGGATCGATTGGGTGGACCAGTGGCGGCCGAAGTGACCTCCCAACCGTGGACATACCGCCTCGACATCACCACAAAAACTCGATTGAATGCTTTATTACTTCACCTCATTTCGGTAGACTACACACCAGAGCGGCGGGCTGACCTACCATTGGTTTATGTGGCTCCAGTGTGGCCATCTACACATCTGAAATATGTTTAATAACGGTACAAGCGACTGTCTGGGCTCGGCCAAGACCTTCTCACTGATCTGTCTGATACTTATGTAGCCTTGTGTTGGTGTTATGTCGTATCGATATAATCCAAAATTAGATATTGCCACGGTTGTCGACGTGCATAATGACAAATAGGCGGAGAAAAAGCGAGTGAGAGCTAATAAACGGACGGAGAAGGGCGATATACAGGGAGACGGGGATCAACAAAGAGTGAGACAGAGGAAAATATTTCAAATGGAGAGAAATAAAGGATATATGGAGACAGACACGATATCAACAATCCGGGAAAGAGGGAAGTTACTGTATACAGAGACAGACAGGAACATGGTCGCCAAGGCGGGAGAGAGTAGGGTGACAGTAGACAGAGACAGACGGGGGTATGGTCACCAAGGCGGGAAAGAGGGAAGTGACAGTAGGCAGAGACCGACGGGGGTATGGTCACCAAGGCGGGAAAGAGGGAATTTACTGTATACAGAGACAGACAGGAACATGGTCACCAAGGCGGGAGAGAAGGAGATGACAGTAGACAGAGACAGACAGGAACATGGTCACCAAGGCATGGAGAGAGGGAGGTGACTGTATACAGAGACAGACGGGAGTATGGTCACCAAGGCGGGAAAGAGGGAGGTGACAGTAGACAGAGACAGACGGGGGTATGGTCACCAAGGCGGGAGAGAAGGAGGTGACAGTAGACAGAGACAGACGGAAGCTTTATCACCTAAGCGGGAGAGCGGGAGGTGACTGTATACAGAGACAGACAGGGGCATGATCACCAAAGCGGGAGAGAGGGGGGTGACAGTAGACAGAGACAGACGGGGACATGTTCACCAAGGCAGGAGAGAGTGAGGTGACTATAGACAGAGACAGACGGGGACATGTTCACCAAGGCAGGAGAGAGGGGGGTGACTATAAACAGAGACAGACGGGGACATGTTCACCAAGGCAGGAGAGAGTGGGGTGACAGTAGACAGAGACGGACGGGAGTATGGTCACCAAGGCGGGAAAGAGGGAGATGACGGTATACAGAGACAGACGGGGTACAAGCGACTGTCTGGGCTCGGCCAAGACCTTCTCACTGATGTGACTGATACTTATGTAGCCTTGTGTCGGTGTTATGTCGTATCGATATAATCCAAAATTAGATATTGCCACGGTTGTCGTCGTGCATAATGACAAATAGGCGGAGAAAAAGCGAGTGAGAGCTAATAAACGGACGGAGAAGGGCGATATACAGGGAGACGGGGATCAACAAAGAGTGAGACAGAGGAAAATATTTCAAATGGAGAGAAATAAAGGATATATGGAGACAGACACGATATCAACAATCCGGCTGTATACAGAGAGAGAGGTCGCCAAGGCGGGAGAGAGTAGGGTGACAGTAGACAGAGAAAGACTGGGGTATGGTCACCAAGGCGGGAAAGAGGGAAGTGACAGTAGGCAGAGACCGACGGGGGTATGGTCACCAAGGCGGGAAAGAGGGAAGTTACTGTATACAGAGACAGACAGGAACATGGTCACCAAGGCGGGAGAGAAGGAGATGACAGTAGACAGAGACAGACAGGAACATGGTCACCAAGGCGGGAGAGAGGGAGGTGACTGTATACAGAGACAGACGGGAGTATGGTCACCAAGGCGGGAAAGAGGGAGGTGACAGTAGACAGAGACAGACGGGGGTATGGTCACCAAGGCGGGAGAGAAGGAGGTGACAGTAGACAGAGACAGACGGAAGCTTTATCACCTAAGCGGGAGAGCGGGAGGTGACTGTATACAGAGACAGACAGGGGCATGATCACCAAAGCGGGAGAGAGGGGGGTGACAGTAGACAGAGACAGACGGGGACATGTTCACCAAGGCAGGAGAGAGGGGGGTGACTATAAACAGAGACAGAC